GTTTGGTGCCGCCGCAGCTACCGCTTTGAGGGTCTCCGTGGTACTCGCCCGAGACCCCTTTCTTCCCTGAATCATTTGTCCACATAACCAGGGAAGAACCTGGCCCGCGCCGCGCTCAACTACTGCGGGGACCACCGGAGCGTGGTGGGCACGGGGGACACTTAAGTGATTTACGCCAGCCGGCTTCGGCAGGCCGGCGAACGCCAGCTGCAGCGGCGGGGAGAAAGTACCCCAAGGCGTTTTACAAACAAATTGTGTGCACAGACTCGGCAGCCCGTCGCCGTGCGCCGCCCGTGCTCTCCGTCGGTGGGCTCCCGACCACCTGTGGCATCCTCGCGCGCGCTCGCCCCCTTCCCACGCGCCTAAAGCCTTGCGCTCCGGCCCTGGGGCTCAGGATTGAAGGCTGCGGAGGGCTCGGGGCTGTGACTCTTGGGTTCAGAGGTATTTCGGGGTGATGAACCTCCACGCAGCCGCCCCCTCCCCCAAGGAGAGTCAGTCGTGTCTGAGAGGGAGGGTTTCAGCTCCTGCGCTCCAGCATCCCGGGGCCCACGTCTTGCGTCACGTGTCCCACCGCGCAGGAGAGCTCTGTCGCTGGCCAGGGGAGAAGAGAGGAGAAAGACTCCAAATCAGTCAGGGAGAGGAGCGGAGGAGCCAAAACGTCCCCGCGAGGCCTGCGCTCGTCGCCCCCTTACCCAAGCCCCGGGCTCCAGGCGGCAGAGCCGGCTCCCGCAGCCGCCCGGGCTCGGGCCGGCGTCCTCTGGTGGCAGAGAGGGCGCACTACGAGCGATTTTCGGACCGAATCGACGCGCTCCTCAGATCCAAACAGGCGGGGCTGGCCTGGAGGACACAGAGAGACAGACACAGAGACTGAGGAGGGGGGACAAGGGCAGGTCAAGAGGGGCCCAGGGGCAGCCTGAGGAGGTAAAAAGTGGCCAGGAGGGAGCTAAGGCTCCACCAGCAGCAAGAGAGTTGCTTCTGCCACAGTCCAGGATCTGAACCCCTAGACCTCACAAGGGTTGGAAAGTGAGGTTGGACAACTTTCTAGCTGGTGCTTTGATTTTTGGGGGGGAGGGGAGATATTTTTTTCACCCTAGTTTGGTTGGGTGCTCCATCTCAGGGGGCCCCAAGTTTATTTTAAGAGTCCGCCACCCTGTTATGGGCCTGCGCAACTGCCTCGACGGCAATAATATGTCAGGACAACACAATATCCCCCTTGAATTCGGGGAGCAACCCGAACAACCATCCTTGGAGGCCTCAGGGGCAGCTGCCCCCAGTGCTGGGCCTAGCGCAGCCGAAGAAATGGAGACCCAACCGTCTGGCAGCGAGCCCATCCCCGTCGAGATTGAAGGCGAGGCCTGTGGGCCCCCAGAGCTCTCCAGGCCCAACTTCCAGGGCCTGGGCAAGTCCGTGCAGGAAGCTGGAGCCCGTGGAGCCCACAGCCCACCTCCTGAGGAAGCCATGCCCTTCGAGGTCAAGCAGCCCAGCTTGGGAGGCTTCTGGCCTACCCTGGAGCAGCCGGGAGACACCAGTGGGGCCCATGCAGACCTCCAGGCCTTCAGCCCTGTGCACGTGGAGCCTGGAGCCCTCTGTGAGGTCAGAACAGATCTGGGAAGCTACAGCCCTCCACCCGAAGAAGCCATGCCCTATGAGTGCGAGCAGCCTGCCCCGGGTGGCTGCGGCCAACCTCTCCTGCAGGTCTCAGACCTCGCTCCAGGAGGCCGGGGTGTGGGGGTCTTTAGCGCCCCCCCAGAGGAGCCCCAAGCCCTCAGACCTGCGAACGCAGTCTTCAGAGGAGGCTGCAGCCCTCCCCCTGAGGAGGCTATGCCATTTGAGTTTGATGGAGCAGCCATTGGGGACGACAGCCCACCCCCTGGGCTCCCCCGAGCTAACCTACAAATCGACGACGGTGGCGGCAGCCAGTTCGCGGCAGCGGCGGAGCCGAGCGCGGTCCTCCTCGCTCCCGCCGCGAACNCCGCGAACGAGCCCCCCCCCCGGGTCCCGGGAGCCATCGGCAGCTCATCTCGAGAGGCTGTCAGACCTCCTCCACACTTCGTGGGCGACAGCCCCCCGATGGAGATCTCCGGACCCCCGCTCGAGATTGGCAGAGCCCCCGTTGGGGTCGACGACGCTCCCGTCAACGTGGACAGCCCCCCAATCGCGCTTGACAGCCCGCCCATCGAGGTCTCCGGAGCCCCAGTTAAGAGAGAGCGAGCAGACGGGGAGAGACCC